AAAAAAGGCCACAAAGTATTGCCCGGGCTAGCATGGGGCGCTACTTGTGGCACAGAAATCAGAACTTCAAAAATCCCAGCACCAGGACTAGTGCCCCACGCTACTCTGGGCATTTGTGGGGGAACATGTCCTATTTCATACGGGACTTGGTTATTTCGACCCCATGATGCCTCCAACTCGTATAAAAGTAAACCTAACCTATTTTGGAGGGAGAGACGCCACTTTGAGAGAAAAACACAAGTACGAAACACTCGTAAGCACAGAATTCACCGATTCTTCCATCCTTCGTCTAGTATTCATAATTTTTATGTTTAAAAATAATATTTTGATTATTTTTATGAACATGAGTGGCTAGGAACCTCATTATTTTGGGGTTATGGATCGTTCTTGACTATTGTAATTTGACGGTTGATTGTTTTGCTTGACTTTATCATATTAATTTATTTATTCAATCTTGCACTTAATTATTCTATTGTGTAGCTAAAAATAGAGTATTATCTACAAATTTATAGTTGAACCTGAAAGTGAGAACTATAGATTTCATATGGGATTGAATAGAGTAAGTTCTTGAATCCGGACATCGGAGAATAGATTCGCAATTAGGATAGACATATTCTAGTTTTCTTACTTGGTTATTTTGCGGTAAATATACATGCGTTCTTGTCAAGTTTGATTTTATAGACATATTATATTAGGTTGGCTTGAATAGGCGAACGAAGCGTCGAAAGAAATTCGCGAGCATAATAAACCCTGCTAATCAACAAATTAGATAAGTCAAGTGATTACATCAACCTGACAAATGCAATAGGAGAGACGTTAATCCCATAACCCTGGAATATCTCCATCTAATTGAATTCTTTCTAAGTGTTTGTTTGCTATACTTGCAATCTTATTTTCTTGCTTGCTGCAATCTTATTTTCTTGCGTGCTTATTAGTTCATAGTAATTTAGTTATAATAATCACAATCATCTTCTTCACACTCACTTGAGCATAAAATTTATAAATATCTTAGATTGAACAGTAGTTGATCATAAATCCTCGTGAGAATAATACTTTCTTATTACTTTATTACTTGTCGACCGCATATACTTGTGTGTGTATTTGGACCCAACAAGTTTTTGGTGCCGTTATCGGGGGTTTAGAAATTAGTTATTTGTGTGTTATCAGCTCTTATTTGTTTTTGTTCGAGTGTTAATTTATTTGACTGTTTTTGACACTGGAGATGTTCTCCTTGAATGCTAAGAAGAAGCAACAGTTTGAACAACCTTCCTCCTCCTGATCCTGCGCGCGAAAGACTCTTCCACAGGTTAAGGAGGGAGGCGGAAGAAAGAGCGAAAATTGCAGAGTTGGATATTATAGTCCAACCACAGCCAATCAAGATGGCAGAAAATGAAGAAAGACCGGTGATTGAGGTTGCAAGGCCTAGTCTTGCTAGTATGACTCAGGCTATCGTGAAGCCTAACATCACGAGACACTTTGAGCTCAAATAGTACATAGTGCAGCTGATTCAGCCCACCGGACAGTATGTCGGTCTATCTCATGAAGATCCGCAACGGCACATTCAAAATATTTTAGAAATTACGGATACTTATTATTATCTGAACATTTTCAAGGACTACGTCAGACTGACATTATTTTCCTTCACTATTGGGGGAAGCTAAGGAATGGTTAAACAAAGAGCCCGCAAACTCAATTCACACTTGGGATGATCTAGCACAAAAAATCTTAATCAAGTTTTTTGCCACAAAGAAAATAAAGTCGTTGAGGAGCCTGATTCTTGGGTTTCAACAACGAGATGGTGAGACTCTTTGTCAAGATTGGGAAAGATACAAGAAACTACTCAGAGACTAACCATATCATTGCCAAACTGATGAGGTGTTTGGACATACCTTTGTGGATGGGTTGGACGAGACCTCCAAATTGAATCTAGACTCAGCTTGTGAAGGATGTTGCATGCAAAAGCCATACAGTGAGATTCAGACTCTCGTGAATACTTTTACTGCAGCTCATCATAATTGGAAGGGTGAGGGTGAACCAAGAAGGATGATAAAACACAAAGCATCAGGTACACTCGAGCTGGATGAGGTGTCAGCCATGCGAGCAGAAATTTCTAAACTAACCAACCAAGTGGCTAAGATGGCAATGGGTCAAAGGAATCAAATGCAGCAGGTTCAGAGGATGAACGCATGTTGTGAAATTTGTGGAGATGGACATATGAGTGATCAATGTCCGGTGAATCCTGAATTTTTTTATTATGTGGGCCAACAAGGTAGAGGTCCAATGAACCAGAATATTAATATGGGAATACCTATAATTCCAACTGGAGGTATTATCCGAATTTCTCATGAGGTGGGAACCAGACCACTCAGAATCAATACAGGCCCCAAGGGAACTATAATCAATCTCAAAAGCCACCTCAACAGGTAGAAGAGAGCACTAATAATATGTTGAAAAAGCTGTTGATTGACAATCAACAACTCCGAACAAACAATCAGCAATTGAGGACTAAATTTCAAAATATATAGAGGCAAAATTGGGCAGTTGGCTGCACAACAAAATACTCGACCTGCAGGGGCCCTTCCAAGGGATACAGATAAGAACCCTCAGGTAAATGCTGTAACTTTGAGGAATGGCAGAGAATTAGAAGAAGTACTGAAAAGAAAGAAAGAAAAAGTCACTCCTCAGGGTGAACTGGTCCCCAAAACTGTGGTGGAAACTGAGAAAGAATCTGAAGAAAGTGAAAAGACTCCGATTGCAAGGCCACCGCCTCCCTTCCCACAAAGATTGAAGAAGAAAAGTGATGACATAGTGTTCAACAAATTTCTTGATAGGCTAAGCCAAATTCAATTAAATCTACCATTGGTTGATGTGCTACGTGAAATCCCAAAGTATGCTAAGTACACCAAAGATATTGTGGCTAACAAAAGAAGGTTGACAGAGTTTGAGACAGTGGCACTTACTGAAGAGTGCACCTCAAGAATTCAAAGAAAGTTGCTGCAAAAGTTGAAGGATCCATGGAGCTTCACCATATGTCACGACCCAGAATTCCAACCCTCGGGACCGTGATGGTGCCTAACATTTCACTTGCTTGGAAAACCAACGTCAGATATAGCTATTAACTATTTTTAACAATTCAAATTAAATGAAAATCAGTAAGGTGAATAAACTAAAATAGAGTAAATAAACTAATAAATGGTGGTATCCAAATACAATCCCAAAACTGATGTGACGAATACATGAGCGTCTAGAGTACTACAAATAATAGCTTGAATAAAAGCATAACTGTCTGAATCGAAATAAACAGCTAAAGAGATGCAATGGGGGACTTCAGGGCTACGAATGTTGTGTAGTTGTACCTCAAGTCTGCGTCAAGAACTGGATCCGAGCAAACCACTGAACACCAGTAGGACCCACTCCAAAATCTGCAAAAGAAGTGCAGAGTGTAGTATGAGTACAACCGACCCCATGTACTCTGTAAGTGTCAAACCTAACCTCGATGAAGTAGTGACGAGGCTAAGGCAGGCCACTTACAATCACCTTACGCAGTAATAATAATAATAATAATAATAATAATAATAATAATATTAATAATAATAATAATAATAATAATAATAGTAATAATAACAATAATAGTAACAATAATAATAACAATAATAATAATAATAATAACAATAATAATACTAATACTAATACTAATAATAATAATAATTATTATTTTTATTATTATTATAATAATATAATAATAATAAAAATTATAATAATAATAATAATAATAATAATAATAATAATAACAGGGAAAGAAGAACAAGAAATGAAAGTAAGATAGTTAATTTATGAAAATGAACTCAAATCTTCGCAATGAGAGAATCCAGAATATCAGATCTCATATTATCATATAAAAATGTTGAAGACTAACACAATATCACAATGAGTACAACACACACAATCCGTTGCGGCGTGCAACCCGATTCCACCGTACACACATAATCCACCCTTATCTCACCATAGCATCATTTATCTCTATCAAGAATCACATATATAATCCGTTGCAGCGCGCAAATCGATCCCACCATATCATCATAATCAATGTCATATTTCTCCCTTGTTTTACCATATTATCATTTATCAGTATTAAGTATTACATACATAACCATTGTGACGCACAACCCGATCCCACTATATCATTAGAATCAATGTCAAAACCTCCCTTATTCCACCATATTACAACTGTTGCGGCGTGCAACCCTACCCACAAACAATTTCAATAAACATAGACAATCCAACAATTCAATTTACAAGAATCTCTATAATCACAGAGTATGAGTACAAGGCAATAAATGAACCACGTAATAATCAAGGTAATGCAACAAATATTACAACAACAATTAGACAAGTAAAACATGTGCATATTAAGGTGTGCAAGTAAAACTGTTAAAGCAAGTAGCAATTAATCACGGAGTCATGGAAGGGACGAGCAATTCAATATAAGAGTAATTATGACAATTAAAAATTTACGACATAGAAGGTAATTAAAGCATGTAACAATTAAGGCATGGAAATGAGATAGTTCATGAAATATGAGAAAATATGGAAATAATTATTTTGACGGCGTATATGCACTTGTCACCTCGCATATACACCGTTTCAAATGTAATTCACATAACAAGTAGTTCAAGGGTTCCTAATTCCCTTAAGTCAAGGTTAGACCCAACACTTACCTCACTCCACAACTCGAGAAATCAACCAACCACGACATTGCCTTTTGAACAAGCCTCCAAACCAACCAAATCTAGCAATCAATTGCGATCACTGGCCACCAGTACACTGCTTTGCATTTGCGAAATTATGGGTCACATTTACTATGGTTCTGGGTTTGCATTTGCAACCTCAATGTTGCATTTACGATATTCTGTGACATGGTTCGCATTTTTGACCCTTATCTCGCAAATGCGGTGCTCGCAATTGCGACATCCGCAGCTGGGTAAAATAGGGAGGAAACGGGATTTAGCTCATTTCTCACAATCTCTCAATCCTAAACACCATAGAGGCAATTTTTCAAGAGACGTTTCTTGCTAAATTCATTGGTAAGTAACTTTAATCCATTTCTTTATAAT